CCACCCCCCACGTGCAACCACCTGGAAAATCGAGAAAAATGCTTTAAATTCGAGGTGGCTTGATTGATTGTGTTAATAAGAAAGTTTTTTCTCTCTCGGCGGCTCTCCCTTTCCTTAAGCTTAAGCTATCTTCTACCGAGCTTATCTCGTTCCTTACTTTCTCCTGCTCTCTTTCTCCTTGACTTCGGGAACCATCCCTCCTTAACTCTTAGGCTTAGACGATCGATACCTTGTGCCCTTTGATTGAGCCTTGATTGATGACTTGGTTCTTTCTTCTTCTACCTTCTTCTTCTACCTCCGCCTACCTCAAGTATAATTGCACCGACGAGAAAAACATTATCGGCGAAACGCACACCTTCCGCTCGAGGCTCGCTGCGAGAGCATGCTCTTATTCCTTTCCATGCATTTTCTCTAAACGTGGCTCTTTCTTACCTCTGTTTCAGGTAAAGTGTACAGTAAGGCTGAATGGACGCAGGTACCCAGGGGTGCTTCCTTTTTTTTTTATAAGGTAATAGATCACTTACAGTTTATCAAATTATAAATCATCATTTATTTTTGGGTATCAATTCACCAACATCCAATTAACATCCTCGAGAATTCTGGATGGATTTGAGGATGCGTCCCCCTTAGTCGGTTGCCATGATGCTTCAGTTAATTGATATCTAATAGAAGTGCATATTATGGGCTGCGCTTGAATAACAGGTAAAGGGATTTATGAGGCTGGGAGTCCAGTCGGTGAACTTGGCAAATTTCTGCGAGCGATATTAGCAAACGATTTCACAGTAACTTTCAAATTCAGTCGATGCGTTTGGGCTGAATAGCCTTGTATAGGTGGAAAGGAAATAGCTTGTAGCGTCAGGTGAAATTCTCGATAATGGGCCGGCGTTGTGTGCCGGAAATTCGACAAATGACTTTCAACTTTTCACATTACTAATTGCAAAGACCAATTGAATAGTCAAAGAGTGCGCGCGAGTGAGGCCGGCAAGGGGAAGAGAGAAAGGAGAGTCAGTCCCGCGAGTGCCGAATTAAGTGATTCGATGAAACATTTTTTGCTTTCCGAACGTCTGAACTTCCACTTTGACGCGTTTCTCTCAACCGAGTTGGGGCATTGTTACTTGTTCCTACTTCTTGATTTATGTTAATGTTTTTGTCACTCGGCGAAATACACCGAAACGCATTTACATCCAGGCCCGACGGCTGATTGGCTGTCTTTGGTTGCGCTCTCCCGCAAGTCGGGCTTAACTTGAACTCCTTTAAGGGAGACCTGTAAAGGTGGAACGCGATTCGAGCCGTCGCCTGACGTTACAGTCGCAAAGTATTGAAACTCAGGCGGAATGGGGAAAGAGTTTGGTAAAGAAACGCAACTCATATCCCTACGCCCATGTGAGTTTACATGTATCTGTTGTGACGTGATTTTTCGATTCACGGTCACAAGGCGCCTCCGGCTACCGATACAGATAGCGTTCCCGCTTTCGGGTTCCCTTCGGGTCGCCACCCTGCTCAGAAGCTACGCTCTCGGGTTGATTCGTATAGTTATGCCGATGCTCTCGTAAGATTTCGTTATTCTTTAGTTGAGGTCGAGGTGCTCGAATCTGCCGTGGAGAAGCGACCGTGAAGGATTTTGAAAAGTGTTGCGTACCGATTCTCTAAGGAATGCTCTCTATTTGGTTTAAAGGGTCACCTCGAGGGAGATGGAAGAGTTATCGGCTATTAGGATCTCGCCCAATCGGAATGATTAGTTCTCGAATTTGGTTTTTGTCAAAGCAGTCTGTCTCGGGGCACCGACCGAGGTGTCACGGCTGTCACGGCTGTCACGGCTGTCTCGCGCTCGCGTGTTGTCTGTTGACAGTTTTTCCAGCTGTGTTTCGATCCGCTATAGAAAGTTCACGCTCGTGTAGTTCTCGCGTTGCTCTCGCGATATCCAGGAAATTCAGTGGATTTCCTGTGAGTGTTCCGGAGGTGTAGTGTCGTGCCCCAGTGCAGTGCCCACCCGAGTGTCCTCTGGATGCAGTTCTCGGCCTTTACGGATTAGCTGCACCAGCTCCGGTGAGTCTGCCAATTTATTAATTGGTGAAGGGATTTCGACTTGACAGATATAGGTTGATTCTCGAAGATAGTTCGATCTCGGATTTTTCGCTATCGGTGTCGGGTTAAGGAAAAAGAATACGTTACAGTGTATAGTATAGTGTTCGATCCACTTTGGATGTGTCGAACATCGGGATGGACTCAACCAAGCAGATTCTTTGCTTCTCTTTACCTGATAGCTTGATAACAATGATGCTCTTTGCTCTTTATTTTCTCCTCTCGGAGAAACCCTCCCTTCTTGATGGATTTCACACAAAAGTTCTGGTTAAATAAATAGAATTGGCTTGGCTCGATTGTTGCGTGCGCGGCTTTCTTGGAGAGATACGCTTTTCGAGCGAAAGAAGCGAAAGGAGAATCAGGAGGAGGAGGAGGAGGAGAAGGAAGAGGAAGACGAAGGAGAATGTACGTCAGGTCGAAAGGAAAGGGGGAAATGGGAAAATGTGAAAAGTGAAAGCGGGAGGGCAAATGAAGTTGTTAATAATGCCAAAGCCTATTCCCTTTTACCCCAACTGAGCCAGGCTCGGTTTCTCGGATAAAGTATTCCAATCGCAATCGACTTTGTTCCTCGCAAGTATATCAGCTACTTTTTACTTTCAATTGGTTAACCTTTCGCTTTCCGCCCGCCACTCGCCACTCGCCAGTCCCTATACTATATACCTATTACGGCTATTACACTTTCTAGGTGTCCCTTTTCAAGACAATCCTTCGATTTTCTCCTCGAGCTCATCATTTTTCGTCGTTACTTTCATATCTTACCTTAATTCTATAGAGTGTGTACCAAAGTCCAAATGTATTTATTGCTTCCGCGATGTGAATATTGGAAACTGTAGAAATCGACAATTCAGGATGTAACTGCTCCGCTCCTACGCGATTACGCTTTTTCTTATAGGGAAACGAATATAATAAAGAAGAGGCTTTTGATTAACTACTACCACCGCTAGTATTACACTACTATACTACTATACTACTTGTATAAGATCGCCACTGCTTTTTACTATTCAACTTTCTAACGACAAAGAAATACCTTTGGAATCAGGTATACGTGATGCCCTTCCTATTTCTATCTATGGCTGCGTCTCCACCTCTCATCTCCTTTATCACTCCGGAAAACGGATATAACACTGATGGGAATAGCTTTCGTCGTTTTCCCCCAAGGAGTCCTCTTAATCGACTCTTTATTTTCTTGCAATCCGACCCTCTACAGCTACAGCCAACTTCCGCCCTTAAGGACTGCATTTCCTCTTTAGCAAAGAAAAAAGGATCGCAATCGCGATAATTAGGTATTCACGCGTCCGCTGCCGATTTCTTGTAAATTATTTGCTCCCTCGTACAGGCCGCGACAAAGCTAACTCGCTAGGATGCAGGAAAGACGAATTTTGTGACGTTTACATTTTCGTAGCGCATTAAAACGAGCATAAGCCTTAGGCTAGCTGTAGCAGGTATAGCCGCAGGGGCTTCGTACTTCGGATGGAATTAATAAATAACCGGGCAGTAGGAGCTGCAGGAGGGACGCATAACTGGCGATTGCGTCAACGTCGACTAGTTGATCGACCTACGCGGTTGATTCTGACTCTCTAAAGACTTGGCACGTGCGTTATCGTAGGGCCCCGACAATCAGCGGGCGTCAGGGCAGTCGCAGCCACGGCAGTTGAACGGCAGCCAGGGATAATCAGGGATAATCAGGGATAATCGGGGAAAATCAGAGAAAATCAGGGATAACCGCACAGGAGACGCGGACTCTCAAAGTCAACTGTCAATACCTACGTGGTGCAGCAAGATGTGCAAGGAAAAAGACTCATAGAATTACGTAGCTTCAGGCCGTTTCTACAATGTACATGTGTGGCTCATTCATGAGATCAGTTGCACAGCTGATTGGTAACGGGTACGTAAGAATCGCTTCAGCCTCACGAAGCAATCACATTGACTGTCGCAGATGCCGAACAATTATTTCACGTAGCATAAAGCGAAATTGGATTGGAGTTTACTGTATTTTTTAATAACGCGTATCTCATTGCCGGTTGCAACAGTAAGTTTGCGGAGGAGGAGGAGGAGGAGGAGGGTAAGGAGGGGGGGGGGGCAAAACGTCGGCGGCGATCGCAATTATGTTGCGGTCGCGCCTTAACAATAAGTCAAACTGAGGCTCACACGAGTCATTAGGGTCCGGCATTGCGAATCGTCGCTCTGGATGAGAGACGGACAGGACAGAAGGACAGAGCGATGCACGGATAGGAAAAGAGGGTTATTGAAAGAGGAGGAGCCGGAGAAGGGTTGCACGTACACGCTTCGCCGATAAGATTAATTGATCAACGGATAAACCGATCAGGTATCGATGTAATTTCACTTGGGCAGTTCGAAAAGATAAATAGGAGGAAGCGAGAGCGCGAGCGCAGCCGAACGGGTGATCGAGTTAATCGGATAGCCGGTCAACCGGTCAACCGGCGAGCCGCGAGCCGCGAGCCGCGCGCACCGGACGGACTTAGGGCTCGCGCGAGTATAGGGAAAGAAGGAGTCAGAGGCGGCCCATGTCGCCTTTAAATAATCCTTAATAATCGATGTCATATGATAAACATGGCTGCGCTACTCGACCCTGATGATTCTATCCACGTGGACGCAGCCATAAACATCTGATTGCCCAAACCTATTTCCACTCGTGTGCTAGAGAGGAGCAGGTACGACGATCTCGTGAGGAGCAAACGCTACATTCGCAGGACGTTCGTCATCGGTTCGCGGAACGTGTTCCGGATAAAACCGAGTGTGTACAATCGGCGAGAAGAGAGGCAACATAACATAACTCATGACTCTACATAAGTGCTTTAAGTCATTGACGAGATCCCCTTCTCCTTTTCACTTTTATTTCTCCCCCTTTCAACTCATTTTCATTCCTTCCCATTCCTCCTTCTGTCTCGTAGCGTGTAAAGACCGAATGTTTTGCTGGTGCGTTCGACTGGTGCCTCGGAGCCCTCGCATGCGTAGGCGCGGCACTGCGCGTGCGCGCGCGCGAGTGTCGCGTTGCGTTGTCGCCGTGTTGTCGCCGTGTTGTCGCCGTGTTGTCGCCGTGTTGCGTTGCGGTGATGTCTGTTGCAACGATTTCATGGAAGAAGACGGCAACAACGGGAAAACGTTTATTAGCATGTCGATAAACAAACAAGTGCTAGTAGTTAAGATCGTCGGATGGTTGCGCAGAGCTAACGAGAGAACGAGGGAGGGGGTATTGTGTGGGTGCCAGGATTGACCACGAGACGCGGCGAGGAGAGGAGAGAACTCTCGTATGTATTGAATGCGCAAAAAAGTATGTACAGCATAGTCGTGGAGTTTATTCAAGTTTAGGAAGATCCCCCAGTGTTTGAACGGCCATAATGTTGAAGTATCGTAACGTCCGTAACGTCCAGCCTGGCCTCAGACTCGTCACACTCGAATTCCATGGTAGGCCGCTCTTTTCTTTTTTAGATAAGCGCATAAAGCCAGCGACGAGCGCAAACAGATTTCAACTCTCACTCGCTCGCGTGTGTGTGTGTGTCAAGAACACTCGCAACAGTATCAGCGACGCCTTTTCCTGCTCTAACAATAAGACTGAAAAGTCCAAATATTAGTCTGCGTGAATTCTCTTACTTTTTCTGGCCGAACTTGTCGATCGCGGATCGCTCATTGAGAATCGAGCGCAGGAATTGCCGACAACGTGTGGAGCATGCATGTGCAGTTGGGCAGGACAACGAGAGTACACGCTCGGTCAGTCGAGAGATGCAACGGGAGTGCAGCAAAGCGGGAGGTTAAAATAGGAGCAGGAGCCCATGTGCAGATTGTGCAGATTGCGCAGATTGCGCAGGCAACGCACAACTTCCGTAAGGATAACGTGGAGCGGGTAAGGCTAAGGCAACGAGTCTGCTGCTGCATGTCCGATGGACAAGATGATGGACCACAGTCTACACCACCTTGCAGCACTCTTACGGAAGTTCCGTGTGCAATGGCCTTAAGGTGTCGACAAGAGGAACGAAGGCGTCGCCTGACGTTCTGCAACCAGAGTGAGCGTCGATGGGCGGCAGAGGGGGGTGAGAGGCGAGCGTCGAGCGGAAGGGGATAGGGAACTCCGCGGGACGCGCGGCGTCGCTCGAGGGGCGGGCAGTGCGGGCGTCGCGGGCCCGAGGGGGCATGAAACGCGTAAACAGAGAGTCAACATGTAAACAGGCCACTCGCGAGACAAACAACGTGGGGGCCACGGGCTGTTCACCGAGCGACGAGACTCGTTCGGCCGCCTGGTTGTTCGCTCGCGCGCGCTCTCTCGCTCTCTCGCTCGCTCTCTTCTACGTAGGTTCGTTCAGTTTCGTCTCGTCTCGTCCCGTCCCGTCCCGTCCCGTCCCGTCCCGTCTCGTCCACTAGCTCATTCGTCGGCTCGTTCGCGTTGCCTGCTGCTCTGCTTTACGTAGCGGAGGCAGCTAGGACGCCGCTACACGTTATAATCTAAAGTCTTTATAATATCGTAGTGCCTACACTGCAGACTCTACCTCGCAGTACTCTGCACGCGGTACGGTGCTCACGGATTTCTGTGAATCTTCACGCGCGGGAATCGTCGACGCGATTTAACTCAGAGTTTCCCTTCCCCCGTACCCCTTCCCCCCTCTCTCCCTCTCTCTCTCCCTCTCTCTCTCTCTCTCTCTCTCTCTCTCTCTCTCTCTCTCTTTCTTCCTTTCTTCGTCACATCGTCGTCGTACTTCGGTTTCCCTAGGCCGAGTTGCCTCCTGTAACTCGGATGTCAGAGCGAAGCCGCCGCCGTCGGCGACGATGACGACGATGAGTAGTATCGCTTGGATACGTACTCACGAAGAGCAACGGGCTTACGTGCGTGGCGGCGCAACTATTAAAGTGAACCAAAGAATCTCGTCGCGATTAGCCGTTCGTTCAGGAAGAATCAGTTCGCGCTCCTCTCACTCGCAATGCTCGTACTGATCGAGGTGACGCTGGTTACCGCAGGTAGCGTTATCTGTGCATATTTACGTTAGTGAGCGCCATCGTCGCTACGTCACCAGTGACTGACGTGTGCAAGTTAACCACGAGGAAATCGTACGTTCCTGCAGCAACGTTCTCTACTGAGTTCTCTTCGTCTCGAACATTGGAGCCTACTGCACTGACTGTCATCGACTAGTGCTCTCTCCGGCCTCCCTTCCGCGTCCCCACACCTGCCACTGCTGTTATCAGCATTCTTACTATTGTCATTGCTATCATCCTCGTCAACACCAATATGGCCACCGGTACCTCGACTCGCACTGACAGCCCCTCCCGATCCTAATCACCCTCCGATCCTTTCGATCAACAGATGCAAGGCTGTCATCGGATTTCATGTAAGTCACGAGAATTTAGTGCTTTACACTTTTCTTTATTCTACATGTGCCCGTTCATCCGATAAATTTAATAATTGCTAGTTATGCTCTAGGTGAACGCTGTTAATCTCGTTTCTCGTATCGCTTGAGCAAAACTCTTATTGTGAATCATCCATCCCATGCCAATTACATAACGACATTCAAATAATAGATAGAACGCAAACGCGATTTTTAGCGCAGATCGTATGCATAAGCATGAAAGGACCATTCCATGGTTCGTTTGTGAGAGAGTGAGAGAGAGTGAGAGAGAGAGAGAGAGAGAGAGAGAGAGAGAGAGAGAGAGAGGCGGCGTCGGTAACGTCAACAACGGAACGAGCACGTGATTACGCACGTGCTCGACTTGCGCGACATCTCGATCGATGCTCATCTACTGATATGCTATAAGTAATTCGGCTTCTCTAGCAGAATCCTCTATTAACATGAGCCCACGTGCAATCGCGACTTTCTAGTTTCATCATTCAAACGACCAATCGATTTCTGAGGATAGCGAATTTCCGTTATCGTGGATTGGAATCTCCTGACCATGTGACTTTTCCTTCTTGTTCCGCCGTCTCTTCGCAGTGGCATGACGATCTACGACGGAGGATACGTTAGTATGGGCAAATATTTGCGAGACACTGGGACAGCGACGAAAGGACGACTTGACTGTCGAAGGTGTCCCAGTTATCACAGGCCTGCAAAAGGAAAAGTTATGAAGGTGTCGCAGAGGGACATCGGGCATCCGGGGACAAGGTGGGACTCTGACTATTCGCGCGTGCTATAAAAGACACTAAAAAGTATTTGAGGGCAAAAGTGAGTAAACAGCCGGTTATTTATAGCCAGGTTGTGTGTTGACTTCTAAGGTGAAGCGAACAACGGACGTAGCCATTCCAGAGAGCGTCCTTCGTGGCGGCGACGCCACCGTCCCGACCGCTGCTTTAACCACTGTCGTCGTCGTCTTCGTCGTCGACGCCGTCTCTTTTGATGTTCAATCTATGAGCTGCACTTGTTTTCCTTGTGTTCGTTCTGTTTCCCATTTCACATAGACAGTATGGTGCATGCAAGAGACGCGAGGCATCGCGAGGCATCGCGACGCATCGCGATGCACAACCAGCCCGAGACCGCGCCTTAAACTCGACTCGTAAACAGAATCGTGCAAACAACTGATACGCAAATAATGAGCGAGTGACGATTGTATTGAATCAGCTCCCTCTCTCTCTCTCTCTCTCTCTCTCTCTCTCTCTCTCTCTCTCTCTCTCTCTCTCTCTCTCTCTCTCTCTCTCGGCCCCTACTCGTTTCCCCTCCTCCTCCTCCTCCTCCTCCTCCTTTCCTCTAATTCTGAGTCTGAGTTTGAGTTTGAGGAGTCCGCCGCGAGGAAAGAGCTGAACAGCTGCACGATTCCATTCCACGACTGTTATCAAAAGAAACTATTGTCACCCGCGACTTACAATGCGCTGTTATTAAACCGAGGCTTCTAGAGATACACCGAGACCCCCCCCCCTCCCTTCTCTTCCCTCCTCTTCCCTCTCTTCCCTCTCTTCCTTCCTTCATTCTGGTTTGCCGAGTTATCGGATTGCCTCGTTTCTTCGCTTTCCTTTTCTTTCCTTTCTTCGCCACTTTGTACTTTTACGTTGTCGAACTTTCGAAGCGTTTTCATGTTCCGGAGAAGGTCTCTCTTTTTTCGTTGGATCTACCTGCTCACCTACCAGCCCGTACCTTATCTTCTTCTGATAACTCTCGGATTCTGCATACACACACACACACACAGAGAGAGGGAGAGAGAGAGAGAGAGAGAGAGAGAGAGAGAGAGAGAGAGAGAGCGCGTAACGTAACGGGGCTTAACGCGAGAGAACGTCTGATTGCATCCGCGCAGCGTGTAACTCCTCGTGAAATAAGCAAAATGCAGGAGCGTCGATGTACCGGGTACGCGTTCCATCCGGTGAACGCAGCTCCCGCGCGACCATGGACGGCCGGCCAACAAAAGTGTCCACGGATTGCACTCCCGGAGGGTGTCTATCGCAATGCACTGACAGCGAATAGAGTGAGCGAGAGAGAGAGAGAGAGAGAGAGAGTGAGAGAGAGAGAGAGAGAGAGAGAGAGAGAGAGAGAGAGAGAGAGTCATCTCCACGATCGTACGAGCCACGAGCCACGAGCACAGCCGTGCGGTGATTGCTGGGTTAGGCTCGCATGTTTGGGCTGGGAAGTTTTGCGCGACGCAATGTGACGCGACGCCATACTATTTGTCGTTGCAATCAGGAGGCGATCGAGCCGCGCGGTCGTTGATTCGTTCCCAAAGGCGTCGCGATGCCATATTGCTCGTTCGTTACACGAAGTACGTAGCGAATTAGTTTGCTCGACTATTCCCCGGATTCTTCCGTCGGGAAAAAAAGCACTAACGCCCTCGATGCCCTGCGGGATTCTTGGGAATTAGATGATTTGCATTTCCCCCTTGTAATTCGGCAGTGCCCTGTCCTTTCGTGTGTGTTACGTTACACGCACGCTTTTTATCTCGGAGGCTCTGCCGTACCAATTATCCGCGCTGATTAAGTGATCAGTACCAGTGTATGACATAACGTGCAACACATTACCACCCGGAGCAGATGATAATCCCTGTGCCGATCATTGCTGGTATTGGGAGTCTCTTTCCCAATTAACTTGCAGCGGATCTTCCCCGCAAGCAAATGTGCGTGTTACACTTTATCCGCGTCTCGTTGAGTGTCCTGGGCAAGAGTGTATTTAGGTTAGGTTAGGTAAGCTCGGCTGAAGTCGCGCGTTGGGATTGAATCGTGTCGCGCAATTACCTGAAAGAAGGATTTCCTGTTTAGGCACGTGCGAGTGGGAGTCTCGGCTCGCAGCCATTACGTACGCTCATTGTTATACGTTGCTGTTTTCCCACACTATTCCTTCTTCCTTATGCCCGTTAACGCTTGCTAGCTGGCTGCTGGCTGCTGGCTGCTGGCTGCTGGCTGCTTGCTTATGCTCAAAGGCAATCAATTGACATTTCGATGACAATGACGTTTCCGAGCGGTGCAGTTTAGTTAGTTTCCTCTGTTCACCCGGATGGGACATTAACGTTCGGTATTATGTAATCGCACTGCCGACACCCTTGTCACAGGGCGCAGGCGCCGCGAAAGTGTTGCTAAAAATTATGCGATTAACGTATTTTATTAGAAGCAAAAAAAAGAAGTAACTAAGCTCATGAAAAAGTCGGGCAGGGTGGCAGGGTCCAAGGAACTCCGTGCCGGTCTCGACGAACTGGCACGCGAATGAACGAACGCAGGCACGAACGGGCACACGTACACGCGTGGGCTGTGCGCGAGCGGTAACGAGCGTGCGTGAGTGGCCGATTTAACCCGGCACGCCGTCCTGTAAGACGACGTAAATCATGGGCAAAGGGGTGCCTCCGCTTTCCGGGCTTCTCTCCGATGGAGTGCCATACATTACAAGAATCCTAATACGAGCGTACGTGCGTGCATCCCTGATGGTTCCTGCTCCTCCGAAGATGGCGCTGATACGAACCCTGCGTATTCCACCCCTTTCATCGCGCACTCCCGTTTCCGCTGGCGTGAGCACCTGCAGACTGCCCCTCCTCTCGAATTCATCCTTACACGCTTTGCTTTCACCGTTTTCCGTTAAATCTCGAACATTCCCAACGATCTCTCGTTGCCCTATAATTTTCCACTAGCATCTTTACTTTTTCACTGTGTCCATGTTAACTGTGCCAGTTATTTACGTCCACCTGGCAAAGACTCGACAATAAGATGAACGAAGAAATAATGAATTGAGAGACACTGGGAGGGTTGCCGGTGAGAAGGTAAAGGGTGAAGGGTTAAAGGGAAGGCGGCGTCTAACTCTCCGTTATCTCGACGTGCTTCCAGCCCCGTGCTCTCTTGGCCTCTAGCTCTCTTGGTAAGGGAGCGTCGCGGTGCCCGGGGTAGACATCGTGACGATGAACGCGGACTTCCCGGGACTCTGAGCTCCGGACTATGGACATAAAAGGTTCGTAGGAGGTTCGCAACGTTTTCATGATTTTCCGAGGTTAATTCTTATTCATGGCGCGATTCCTGCCGGTTTAGCCTCGAACTCCCTTCCCTCTCTCACCCGGCGGCCTGCACGCCCACCTATCAACTTTTCTTTTTTATTCAGGTAAATTTTAATGCCAAGTAAAAGCTATGAGAGGCAAAGAGAGCGATAGTGAGTGCTGGCGTTTGGCCTGTAGGGAGCTCCTCTATCGGTTCGTTCGTGTGCGTGTTAGTGCCGCTCGTCAAATTCAGGGATTCCGAGGACTGCGGGACTGTCGGTGAAAACGGATATGTCTTCGTGAAGTTAGAGAAACGTTAGGATCCTGTTGAGATGACACTGGCATGTCCACAGGTCGACACTGAAAGGACAATAAGGCCTTCAGGGGCTGCTGCCAAATCTTGGGAAGCACGAAGGGTCGAAAATCTTGAGCAGTAGGTGTATATACCGTGGGACTCAAAGGGACGCGGAGCAGCGAAAGGGTTGGAGCCGTGTCCGGTCAGGAAATAACTTTCTTACCTACTTACGCCTTCATCTCCTGCGGGCAACTAACTGCGCGAGGCGCCTCTAAACTCCTCGTTTCCTATCGCGCTTAAACCCGATGTCACTCGTTGCGAAAATCATCCCTCGGCAGTCCCTCCGTGAACTCCGTAAGACGGCATCCCCTCGCTCTTCCTTCTTCTTGCTCTCCTTGAACCCCGCGGCAACCCCGCGGCAACCGCTACACACGTCGGCTCTCGAGGGCCTCTCGCGAGCCTCACGAGCCTCGCGAGCCTCACGAGCCTCACGAGCCTCTCTCGCGTCTTTTACACCACATTCGATCCACAAAGAACAACAGTATAGACACAGAGTGAGCTCGTTTGATAGTTTCAGTTGATTCACTAGATAATTCTATTGCAATATGAAGAAATTGCAGATAAGAACGCACGCCCGTTGGATATGAACCATAATTGTCATAATTG